GAAAGGTGACAAAGAAGACGAAGAGGAAGAAGAAAAGCAGAAGAAGAAGAAGAAAGGAAAAAGAAAAGTAGAAGAAGAAGAAGAAGGAAAAGAAGAAGGAGAAGTAGAAGAAAACACAGAACCTCACTGGCCATCTCCTTCAACCAAAGACCCACAGAAAGGGAAAAGAAAGAACCTGGAAGAACAAAAGACCCTCACTGGCCATCTCCTTAGACCTCACTGGCCATCTCCTCAACCAAAGACCCTCACTGGCCATCTCCTTCAACCAAAGACCCTCACTGGCCACTCCTTCAACCGAAGACCCTCACTGGCCATCTCCTTCCTCACTGGCAAAGACCCTCACTGGCCATCTCCTTCAACCAAAGAAGCCATCTCCTTCAACCAAAGACCCTCACTGGCCATCTCCTTCAACCAAAGACCCTCACTGGCCATCTCCTTCAACCAAAGACCCTCACTGGCCATCTCCTTCAACCAAAGACCCTCACTGGGCCACTGGCCAAAGACCCTCACTCCATCTCCTTCAACCAAAGACCCTCACTGGCCATCTCCTTCAACCGAAGACCCTCACTGGCCATCTCCGTGAACCAAAGACCCTCACTGGCCACTCCTTCAACCAAATCACTGGCCATCTCCTTCAACCGAAGACCCTCACTGGCCATCTCCTTCAACCAAAGACCTCACTGGACCAGACCCTCACTGGCCACTCCTTCAACCAAAGACCCTCACTGGCCATCTCCTTCAACCGAAGACCCTCACTGGCCATCTCCTTCATCTCCTTCAACCGAAGACCCTCACTGCCATCTCCTTCAACCAAAGACCCTCACTGGCTCTCCTTCAACCGAAGACCCTCACTGCCATCTCCTTCAACCAAAGACCCTCACTGGCATCTCCTTCAACCAAAGCTGGCCATCTCCTTCAACCGACCCTCACTGGCCATCTCCTTCAACCAAAGACCTCACTGGCCACCCTGGCCATCTCCTTCAACCGAAGACCCTCACTGGGCTCACTGGCCATCTCCTTCAACCAAAGACCCTCACTGGCCATCTCCTTCAACCAAAGACCCTCACTGGCCATCTCCTTGAAGACCCTCACTGGCCATCTCCTTCAACCGAAGACCCTCACTGGCCATCTCCTTGACCCTCACTGGCCATCTCCTTCAACCGAGACCCTCACTGGCCATCTCCTTGGACCCTCACTCCTCTCCTTCAACCAAAGACCCTCACTCTCCTTGGAAGACCCTCACTCATCTCCTTCAACCAAAGACCCTCACTCTCCTTTCTCTCCTTCAACCAAAGACCCTCACTGGCCTCCTTCGAAGACCCTCACTGGCCATCTCCTTCAACCAAAGACCCTCACTGGCCATCTCGTGAACCAAAGACCCTCACTGGCCATCTCCTTCAACCAAAGACCCTCACTGGCCATCTCCTTCAACCGAAGACCCTCACTCTCCTTCAACCAAAGACCCTCACTGGCCATCTCCTTCAACCGAAGACCCTCACTGGCCATCTCCTTCAACCAAAGACCCTCACTGGCCATCTCCTTCAACCAAAGACCCTCACTGGCCATCTCCTTCAACCGAAGACCCTCACTGGCCATCTCCTCTCTCTCCTTCAACCAAAGACCCTCACTGGACCCTCACTGGCCACCTTTCACTGGTCAACAAAGACCCTCACTGGCACTCACTGGCCAGAACCAAAGACCCTCACTGGCCATCTCCTTCAACCAAAGACCCTCACTGGCCATCTCCTTCAACCGAAGACCCTCACTGGCCACCTCCTTCAACCAAAGACCCTCACTGGCCATCTCCTTCAACCGAAGACCCTCACTGGCCATCTCCAAAGACCCTCACTGGCCATCTCCTTCAACCGAAGACCCTCACTGGCCATCTCCTTCAACCGAAGACCCTCACTGGCCATCTCCTTCAACCGAAGACCCTCACTGGCCATCTCCTTCAACCAAAGACCCTCACTGGCCACCTCCTTCAACCAAAGACCCTCACTGGCCATCTCCTTCAACCAAAGACCCTCACTGCCATCTCCTTCAAACCAAAGACCCTCACTGGCCATCTCCGTGAACCAAAGACCCTCACTGGCCATCTCCTTCAACCCCTCACTGGCCATCTCCTCAACCCCTCACTGGCCATCTCCTTCAACCAAAGACCCTCACTGGCCATCTCCTTCAACCAAAGACCCTCACTGGCCATCTCCTTCAACCAAAGACCCTCACTGACCAAAGACCCTCACTGGCCATCTCCTTCAACCGAAGACCCTCACTGGCCATCTCTTTCAACCAAAGACCCTCACTGGCCATCTCCTTCAACCAAAGACCCTCACTGGCCATCTCCTTCAACCAAAGACCCTCACTGTCCACCTCCCTTGCTTCTGGATCTCCCCCTATTCCTTACGGTTCACCGAGGGCGTTCTTGGCCTCGAGTGCGAACCCTCTCGTCAGCGCCTCGGGCAAGAAAGCTAGACGGAGGGTCGATAGACTGAGCGACAAG